AGAGAAGAGAAGGAGAAAGGGGCAGACAGAGAAGAGATGCATAACAGCAGGGAGGCTGGGTGATGGCAAAGAAGACTGATGAATTTTCTCCAGACAGCAGCATTAAAACCTTCAAAAGCTCTCTGTGCACACAGCTTCATCCAAAGTGCTGTTGAAGGGACTTTATGGACAGACTCAATGAATTCAGAGACAGGGCTGAGTACTATTCCAGTAGCCCGCTCATGCCTGTGTGCTAGCAGTGTTGGCTTTGTGCTTTGCCTACCCACACCTCCACGTTGTGTGTTGATTCTGTGTCCCCTCAATCCTTGCAGCTACCAGCTTATGTAATATTCCCAGAACCTTTTTCTATCCCTCATGTAGGCTCTTTTCATACATGCAAATGGTAAAGCCCAGATAGATGTTTACTCCTGACATTGCTGAAATGCAAAACTCTAGTAACAAAAAAAGTCAGTCCTTAAACAGGCTTTGAACAACTCTTGAGAAGCATCATGCATTGTGCACAGAGTAGAGAAAATCAGCTTAGAATCATACAATCATTTAGGTTTGAAAAGACCTTTAAGATCATTAAGTCCAACTGTTAACCTAGCACTGCCAAGTCCACCACTAAACCATGTCCCTAAGCACCACATCTATATGTATTTTAAACACCTGCACAGATGGTGACTATGCCACTTCCCTGGGCAATCTCTTCTGAAGTTTGACAACCTTTTCGGTGAAGAAATTTTTCCCAGTATCCAATCTAAACCTCCCCTGGTGTAATCTGAGGTCATTTCCTCTTGTCCTATCACCTGTTACTTGGGAAAAGAGACCAACATCCACAACTTACCTATTAGTGGGACAGAGTCAGAAGTCGCAGGCATGATCTCAGCCACAAGCAGCATGAATACGGTCAGGGAAAGCAGGACAGTGATACCTGCAGGGAATGAACATGGAGGGGAAGGATGAGGAACATAAACTCTGCAGCTGCTCCTCTGATGTCTTTGCTGTTAAATATTACCTTGTCCTGATCTACAGCTAAGCCAAACCCATGACTTCATGTCTGTAAATGCAGATGAGAACTTCCACAAAGTGAGAGCATTTTTGGATGCAACTTTATCTGCTGTCTTTTCACTTTTTTTCAATCACACTCAAACCCTTGCTCCTCTTAAAATAATGGAGAAACCTTTCCTACCGAGTGACATGAAGCTTGCAAAACTGGTAAACTACATTACTTTTCCAAAACACAGCACAAACAATGCCCAGATGGTTATTAAGGGCTAGGAGAGACTTGCACAAACATGAGTTTAGTTTTAAGTTATTGCATATTATATAATGCCCTCCAAAGACCTGCAGCCTATTTTAAAAGAAGTTCTTCATTAGTTCTATCTAGAAAGACTGTTGCTAAACCTCACTGCCCTGGTACTGAGAAATCACAAGGTCAATGTATGAACATTTTCTCTTATATTTGTGTCAACATTGTACTTCAGCTCAAATAACTCTTTTCCTTGTCTCCATCCTATCTTTCATAGACAGTAATTGTATTCCCCATAGCCTGTGTTTTATGTCTTGTAAGACAGGTTGCCCAGAACCCCAATTATTCTACTAACACTCACTGTGCTTCATATTATTTAAAGGTCTCTGCCCTGACTGGAATTGTGCACAATTAACTCTCAAGATTTTGCCTAGGCCAGTCTTGTGTATTTCAAGCTCTCCCCTGTCTTCTCTTGGAAGCAATCCTCCTGTCTTTATTGACACGCACAACAGTAAACAGAAAATCCAATGCCCAGCTGCTGCTGCTGCTCACAACCCTTCACTCTCTATGTGTTAGTATGTCCTATCTGAAAAACAGAGTTAATCAGCTGTGAAATGCACTGAGATGTACTAAAGAACAGAACAACAGGGATAACAAGTACTATCGCTTCTGCCTGTAGCAGCGACAAGTTCTGTCTCATCCCAGAATAAAATCCAAAAGATTTTAGAAGTGTGTAGCACAGGGTGTGTGAATGCCATACAGAAAGCTCTTACCCTGGTTTCTGCAACCAAATAAGTCCTTCTATTGCTCCTCCAGGGAAATCTTTATTCATCAAGCACCATGAGGTATTTATTTTCCATTTTATAGGAAGTGCTAATGAAAGAAAAGAATTCTTTACCACTTACCTAAAGAAATCTTCTCCCCTGAATCAGCTGGCAAAAGGAAAACAAGCAGTGCCAAGCCAGATATGAGAACACAGGGAATCAATAGGTTCAAACCGTAGTAGAGAGTGCGTCGGCGCATGGTGATGGTGTACGTCACATCTGGGTATGGTTCTTTACAGCATTCATAGTACATCTCATTCCTCTTTCCTGGGACACCTATAGGGAGGGAGATCAGAGCAGTGGGGAAAGGTACAGGGCTCCCGGGTATCCCCTTGGAATGGGCCAAGAACTAATGCTTTATGAACCAATGTGTGGCACCTCCATCACACATTGTGCATTGAAGAGTGCTTCAAAGTGTCCTGTGGCAACTGATAAGGCAGAAAAGACACCCCCAAATCTGTTACCATGCAAAAGTAATTTTCTAACACTTGTGGCCAATGATGTGTACATGGATTAATAGATTAAAGGAGACAAAGGACAACGTGCCTCTGTTCAATGCTGTTTGTGAGCTCAAATACATCACTATAGAGTTAAACGAGCCAACGTAACTCTTTGTGTGACAGCGTCTACAGCAATGTCTGAGGCAACAGTGCAAGATGTCTGCTGTTCCTAGTCCACCTGCTGTGTTTTCTAGGGTTTATTTTCATGCCTTCTGAACCATTAGAACCCAAGAAAGCTCATTCTGCCTTCCTGCATCCAGGGAATGCTGACAGACTGACGATGTCATGTTCACTAGCCCATGCAGCAGATCTTCCATGTGTCAATTTTCACCAGTTCTTATTTTTCTTTCATTCTCTTATACATATTTGCTTTGTTTCGTCAGGAAGAGCAAATAGGATACAGCTTAATTTTCAAAACGGGTGTCAAGCCTAAAGTCTGTCATATCTGAAAGTCAGGAGATATAGTTGTCCAATACAGCTGTGCTGCAGGGTTGGCCATGGTGAACCAGCTGCAGAAGACTGTCTGAAACGCTGCATGGCAGGGACTGCAGCAGCGCAGGAAATGCCAGGGGAGCTGGAAGAACTCAGCACCTTGTATCTTTCATGTCACCATTGCTCACCTTTTGTTTTGTTTCTGCGCACATGACAAAAGGTGTGAAAACATGCATGTTTTGGCAGAAGCGTGGCAAAGTCTCCATAAAGGATATGGCCACAGTTTGCCTGAGATGTTACTTAATGTTTTTGCTGTATGAGCTAGCTAAGGGCCTGTTTTGTCCACTCCAGTAAGGGTTGAGGGCAGATAAACCACAGGCCAATTTCTTAATCAGATATGCAAAGTTAATAGATAGAAATAACCACTATAGAGAAGCACTGAAAAGTCAGGAGGGCTCTGAAATAGACGGACTTTAGGTGGACTTCCTTATGGAGTCCTTCAGCTTCTCATGAAACTGAATACCAATTATGTTTCTTACTGTATTATCTTTCAGATGCTCTGAATGGTAAAACTACTGCACACAGTTGGTCAGTGATAGTTACTCCCTTGTCTGCATATCCAGACTAGAAGATGAAACGTCCCTTCTGCAAGCTCTCCTTAGGGTGGTCTAAGTTCTATCAATTTCCATAGCATTGCTTCTGACTTAGAGCTATACTAATTTATAGTGCAAAATAACTCACTAGAAGCTCACTCCAAATAACTAATTCTGGGCATAGATTCCTCTTTTTAAAATACAGGTATCTTCCAAAGCACAGAACAGAAGAGAAACATACTGCTCTGCAGTTATTTGCAGTTATCATGAACTGGTAGATACTTTGATGGTTTTCTAGGTGGGAGAGATTTATCTCTGTGAAAGCTCATTCCAGCTTTGCTAAAATAGTGGGTTTTACACCAATCAATTTTTGGCTGATGTGTTAGAGTAAATGTCACAGTAGTGTTCCATGCACCTACATAAGACACATCCAAGTTCAGTACCGACAAACTGCTCAGATGCATCAAGACCAGTAGATTTCATTTCCGTATTCAGTTGCAGGTAATTGCTTCGGAACAGTGTTTTCAGACACAGTTCACTGAATGCAGCTGAAATGTTGTTTCTGATCTGTGACTTTTTTCTTTTCTTTTTTTTTTCTGCCTCTTACATATAAAATTTTATTATCTGTATTTCATGTCCCGGTGGGATTAATCATTTCTATATATTTGAGGTTTGCCTTTGAAAATCAGAGGACTGAAAATTTTTAGGGTAGCTGATTTACCCACTAAATCCCATTCTCCATTTGAGATGTAGTTGGAAATATCAGCCTCGAGCATCTGCAGATCAATCAACCAGCCACTGTGAGTCCAGGAGCCAAACTTCAAATCACACTTCTGTACATCAAAGGGGAACCAGCGGACATCTATGTAACATGTGCTTTTCAAAATGCCTGTGGATAGAAATCAGTCAGAATCAAGCATGTGCAGGGTGCAATTAATCTCTACCCTTATCTATCTGATCGATTGTGAGCAAATTCCTTCACTAGCAACCTGTGTGATGTAGTCACGGGGTAACCAAACAAGTAGTGCAGGTGGAAGATGCTGCCATGAATTGAATAAACTCCCTTCCTGGGGCACCAGTGAAGATCCCTCTCTTTTTCACCACATTCTTGAGGTAGGTCGCCCAGGACACTCTGGCACCCAGGAGCAGCCCAGCCTGTCTCCTCATGCTGGCTGACCCCAGCAGATCACAGGCAGTGCTGCAGGGCCTAACAGGAGCATAGAGTACTCAAGTGTCCAAGCACTGTGGCTGGAAGTGCCCTGACAAGCTCTTTGAAAGGAGTTCCTTGTCAGGTCCCGCATCAGACTCCCAGTCCCCTGAAAATACATTGCTATGCTAAACCTTGATTGGTTCTGGCCTTTATCTTCTGTATGTTAACCTGGGCCTTGAAATTTACTCTGGATGTGTCTAGTCTGTGGTCATTATTTCATGTGACATCTTAAGTAGTTTAGGAGATTAACGGTTGTATATTTTTGCAAACTAATTATTTGGGGGGGGTTGTCATTCAGCTGAGAGAAAAAAAAAAAAAAAAAAAGACACAACTAATATAGATGTTCCAGACTTTCTTCTTGGGGCCACATCTGTGGCTGTGGGACTTCCCCAGCCGACGGGCAGCATGGAGGGCTTGGAGAGCGGGGAAGATGATCTGCACAGCCTGTGTCACTGTCAGCTGGTGGCAAAGCACAGAGGTCATCCCTGCAAAGTCTTCCCACCGTGGGCCTGTGGCTTTGCAGCCTTTGCCTCACCTCACCAGCTCACAGTGTGCTGGCCAGCTCAGAGGCACTGTGTGAAGGAGACGCAGCTTCTGCTTCATTGGAAAATTACTTCAAACACTGCACTTAGCCTACCTGTTTGCAGTAACTGTTTCTGTGTGCTCCCTAGAACATCAGCTAATGTGAATCCCAGCTCTGAGTCACCTAACTGAGCACAGTTTGATGTTTTGCAGTAAGTTCTTGAGCCTTGCCTTTTGAAGATAAAATCTCCAAAACGGAGATCCTTGATTACTGTCTTTGCCTGCTGCTGCAAAGGCTGAGGGCATTGTGGCATAGCTATGTGTGTAAGGCCTTGTCTCTGCATAAAGGCTGCTGCTTTGGGTGGCTGGGTTCCTTTCATTTGTCCGTTTATGTTCTGGGAGGTCTGACTTGCACCGCCATGGCCATTTTTGCATAGGCTACATCAAGGCTCTTCTCCCAGTTTCTCTTGAATCTTGGCTCTGCTCATTTCCTTAACAGCAGACAGCTGTCCCTTGTTCTTCCTCTTTCCTCCTCCATCTAGCTTTTTTCTCTAATGAAGAGAAGCAGTAACTACAGCCTGCTCTCAGAGTCATGGGAAATAAATCTTTCATGAAGATTTGGAAACACTGTCTTTTCTACTCTTCCATGTTTTCCAGTGTCTTGATTAATCTAGCTGCTTCTGTGAGGTCTTCTTGCCAGTCAGTAGGCTGATTATCAACTGTTTCCTTCTAAAATTTTGCAAAGTAGTTCAGCAGCAGTTAAATCCCAGTAACAAGGGATTTCCTGTGCTTTACACAACAGATATCCGTTATTACTTTTTCTCTCTTCATTCTTTCCTTGGGTTCCCAAGTAACCAATTCCTCACCATAGAGTTCGTAGCTCACCAAGAGACGAGCAGGACACCAGATCTACCCACATAGGCACGTTCTCCATCACCTCCCTACTTGAAGGGAGGAGAAGGCTCTCCTCTAGTACACACAAATTTTATTCCTGTCTCATGTTGTTCCCTGGAAAGCAACCCTACCCATGGGTCTGTCTCATGCTTTAAGGGGTCTCAGGGGCAGCGACCAACAGAGAACCAGCCATCAGGGAAGACCTACTTGTTCCCTGGTGGGCCCTATGGACATGCTCGGGGTCAGTCTGCCAGCAGCTATGACACAAAGTTTGGGCATTTCCTGTCCACCACAGTGAGCGACTGTGGAGATACCCTGTGTATTTGCTGGTAGGTCCTGGCTGCTGGGCCCTATAGGCACTGAATCAGGAATACAGATGGGAAGCAGGCTGACACTTGGGTCTGGCCAGCTGAGACCAGTCTCAGTTTGTCTTTTCACCGGGGGTTGTAGCCTCAGCCTGGCAGGGAGGGCTTCACTTCAAAGGGAGCACTGCTCCCTCTGTGCTCACACGCCTCTCCACTCTCAAGAAAGAGCTATTTCGATTGCACATGAAATGTGATGTGAGGGTGCACACCACCTTGCTTTAGACGACGCCTCAGCTGGGCCTCTGAACGTTCTAAGCAAACTGCTCAGGAGAGTGATTTATTGATTGGTGAAGCGGAAATACACCACTATAATGGACCTAAATTATTTCAATGAGTCAGTCCCATAATTACACACCTTGCAAAATTTCCACAGACTTCTAAACACCTCGGTTTCATTCATGAAGGAAAACTGTTCATATTTATTTGACTTAAAGCAAACAAATGCTCTCTGTGCCCTACCTGGAGGAATATATTGGCAGGATCCAGAGTAATTCACCAGCACATTTGTGTGAAATGTCGCATCAAATCTTTCATCTGCACTATAAGACAGTATAAACAAAACAAAACAAAACAAAGAAAAAGCAAGCTGATGTTTGAGTTAAGATGTAGTAACTGTCAACATAAAAATAATATTTTCGCTGAATTTAATGCACAGAATGTCTGAATTAAGGTCCTACACCTCAGTGAAGAATCCACCCTTGATCGGTATCTCTGCTTCTCATAGACACTATTGGCCTGCACCCAGGCATACTGATTCCAGGCTGCAATGTCCTCAAAGAAGTGAGAAGTAGAGCTGTTGGATGTTTCAGAACAAAGGCACAAGTGAAAGGAGCAAAAGTGTCACAGCAGATGTATCCAAAGACTGGACAGTCAGCATGATGTGGCTTTTCTGGGGCTGCTGTCAGAATTAGGCAGCTCACAGCGTAAATCAAGTTATCCGTTACCCAGATATCTGTTGTAAGAGTAATGGTGCCCTGAGGCAACAATTCTGTGGTCTCTTAGGATGCAAAAGGGCCAAGGGTTTGCTTCAAGCAATGGAGGAAGGCACTGGGGAGAAGTTGTTTTAGATTTGGGGTCTGTAGGAGGAGATGACTGAGACTTTAAGAGCAGAAACTAGGTGAAAGGGACGAAGAAAATAGAATTTCTTTAAGATTCCAGCAATTCTAAGAAAAATAAGGGAGTAATGAGCCAGGTAAGGACAAGAATTCTTCAAGGGAGCAGGTCTGGAGGTTTGCTCAAGAGGGGTTTTTGGGAAGAGATTAACTACGGAGGGTTCCCTTGGCTGATGCTGTACAGCCTTGCCTGTCATGGCTATGTGCAGATCTATGTTGCATGACTACACTGTCTTACACACCCTGTCTCACATCCAGATGTAGAAAATTCAGACCTTCCGTTCCTCCTGTGACCTGCTCTCTATTCACATCTGAGTCCTCAGTCCTCAGTATTGTCCCCAGCACAAAACAAGGGATAAAATTGACAAGGCTAAGTGCAGAATGAGTGATAAAGATCAAAAGACATAAAGGGCAGCAAAAGTTTTTAAAAATGCAAAGAAAAAAAGGAAAAGACAAAGGACCAGATAGATCCATTACCTGCTGTGGAAGGAAAGGAAACAATAGGGTGCAGAGAGCTGCAGTACCCTGCACCCTCTGTGCTTCACTCTCCACAAACTGTGGCTCACCACAACTAATTCTTGCACAGTGGCAGGAGTCCAGAGAAGAATAGGAGAGAAACAGATTAAAGAAGGGTAGATAAGACTGATTCCAGTTGGCAGGACTGATGAAATTTCCTCTTGAGAACTGAAAGGACTGGCCGAAATACCCTCTGAAGCATTAATAATTTTCTGTGAGAGCTCGTGGAGAACAAGGAAGGGCTTGGTGAATTAGGGTAGATGAAAGAGAATTCTACTTTTTTTCTTAAAGGTAAAATTATAGACACATTACTCTAACTTTGAAGATAATGAGGTGAAAAACAGTTGGCACAGATCTGTCAAGGGCCAACTGCATCAAATCAATCTAATTTTCTTACTGATTAACTAAGAGGAGGCAGGGGATATACCTGAACTTCAGAAAGTCTTTGCCACATCATGTTCTTACAAAAAAACCACAGTAATAAGGACCAGGCTATATGCTTCCTTTTCAGAGACTGAAAAGGGATAAAGAGAATCTGAGGAGTAAAGCTGAAGTAAAGAAGAAAATAAACAATCCAGGTCATTCCAAGCCTCCTTCGGAGGGTTTGGAATGGAAAATGGATCTTGGTGAACTGGGGAAACCAACAGAATTAAATTCAATCATCTGGATGATTATAAAGTATTACCCTTAAAACTGTCAGAGAAAGACAGATCACTGACAATCTAGTAAGACAGGAAGGCTGAAGTACCACATCTGGGGTTTGTGACAGATCAAAAAATAAGTCCAAAACTAAGATGTTAGTCAGAGTAAAACCAAAATCCCCTCCTCTTGGAAAGCATTAAGGTAATATCTGTCTAGAGAGCTTCCACTCCATTCAATGCTGCAGAAGTGCTGGCTAGAGAGCGTGATTCAGCTGTGGAGGAGGAAAAACAGATGAGAGAGTATTCACAGGGGAAGAAGAATGATGGAGAGATTTACAAAATATGAGTGATGAGGAGAGTGAGAAGAAAATCTGTTTGTTTAGTTCAGGCAGGAACATTACGGCAGAGACATGATAATAATTTTTCAGGAAAGCCGTGTTAATTATAAGGAGAATATGGATTGTTTTCTCTCCATGTTCACTAGGAAAATGTAAAGAAGACATCTGCAGAACTATAGCAATGAACACGTAGATTGGCAATTAGAAAAATCTGTTAGCTGATGCTTGTTTGTTTTTACTGTTATTGTTTCAAGAGTAAGAGCCAAATCCCCAGATGGCAAAATCCCCAGAATATCAGCGAAGCATGGCTGATTTCCAGCATGTAATGCTCTAGCTCTAAGCTCCCACCGGTTGTTGCGCATCGTGCTTACCTGTTATACAGAAGAATGTCTGGTACCCAAATCTGGTCAGCTGGAAATCGCAGGTTCTGCACCCCTGGGTATTCATACTGATCCCAAGACAAATAAACATCAACCCAGTACTGTTGGCAAATACATACATTAGATTATACGAGCTGGTAAAAGTCTTCTAAGTTCTATGGAATATTATGGGAACAGAATGGATTTTGCCAGTAGCAATAGCAGTAGCATGGTAATAGTTTAATGCTCAGCTTTAATTATTAAAGAAAGGTTGGCATATATACCAAGGAATCCACAGTGTGACAACGGACTGCTGTGAGCTGTATTTTAATTTAGTGTCTAACGTCTCCACTTTGTGGCCTGAAGCCAGGCATCTCAAATCTTTTCCGAAGGGCTTGCAGAAACACTGGCAGTACACACCTCCATGAAGAGTGCTGGCTCTGAGCTGAGGTAGTTTGAATGACTTGGGTATTGTCAGTGGTACATGGACCACGGTCTGAGAGTCCTTCTTCAGTGGAAATAATTTAATTTGTTACAAAGGTTTGGTTATTCTTTTAATAAACTTGCTATGAGATGTAGGTATGTGAACTTTATATCCCAAAGTGTTGTTTCTGATCCCTTCTCCTCCACCTCAACACAAACAGTTAATTCAAGAAAGGTTCAGGCACAGCTTTTGTGCTGAACCTTGTGACTTATAGCAAAGGTCTACGGGAGGGCTGCAAGTTAAACAGCTATCGGTGCAGAAGAACACCTCTGCAAGGGACATGACACCCACAGGTTCTGTCCTAATGATCCTGTAGTCCTAGAGGTAGATCTGGATTAGTTTTTGCAATAGAAAACCACTAATTTCTGCTGCAAATCCCAGCAAGTAGCTGAGGAAGAAACAGCCTGTTCAATTGCACCCATAAACATGAGATAGTGTTTGGCTGCTAAAGTCAAAGTAGAATTAGTTCAATCATTAAAGTCTCCCACAGGATCTTCCCTCCAGACCTGCATCTTTACCAAGCGCAAGCCATTAAGGAGATCAGTGTACATGCCATAAGAAAAGACCATATCCCTTGCCATATGTGGCCAGCAGCAGACCTGAGGGGAAACTCACTCCCTCCCCCAAAGTTCTCAGTGAAGATCACTTTTGCTCATCCTGCACGACTGCTGCAGGTCACTCCTCAGCTGGAGCACGTTGTAGAAGAGGGAGGGGGAACATTTGTGGACGAGGTTTGTAAAGTACGAGGGAAGGCAATGTTCCCGCTGACATGCCTGGGCACTGCCACCAGCAATACAGCATGGGACTGCTTGCGGTTCCTGGCGACCACACCACCCAGTCCAAGCTGTCTCCATGTGGTCCAGTGTGGCTGCACCACTTCTGTGTTCAGGGGCGAGTGCTGGGGATCCTTGTGCCCTGCCCTCCATGGGGGCACCCCTGGGTCCCTGTTTCAGACAAAGGTGGGGATTTTCCCAGAAGTGTGAGTGCAGGGTGCCCAGGTCTTACTAGGTGTCTGGCTCCTTCACGACAAGTCCCTGTCGCAGCACTTGGAGAGGGCCTTGAGCTCCTTGAAGAATCTCTCCTTCAACTATGGTGGGACCCTAACTTTGGGATCTTTGTTACTAGATCCCTACATGCACTGGTCTAACAATGCAGTTGGTTTCACGCTCCAAAGGTCAACACTTCTGCTCAAAGGATTAATGTAGTCTCCTGCTTTCATTTTGAATGCTAAAAGGAGTACTAGAGAAATTTCAAAGGACTCAAAACGCCTGCTTCTTTTTCACATTATAGACAAGTCAAAAGACAGCAATCTTGCTTTTCAGCTAAGAAATCACATTCAGTAGTTTGCTATTAGAAAGGGTGATTTTTTCTTTATTGACATAGGTTACTCACCATCTGCAGCCAAGCATTTGTGATCAACACTTGATTCTTCTCGTCCTTTGAACAAAAGGAGCAAGGAAAGGGAAGACAAGAGAAAAAAGGGATGAGACTCAAAGTACAGTTTGATTACAGGTAGAAGTGTTTCTGTTTCTTTTAGAAAACCCAGAGTCTTGGAGTAAATAAACACAAACTTTATGGAGTAGATTGTGGACTCAGTGCAAAACCACTGAACTGTATTATATGGCCCAAACAATAATGACTCTTTTCTGTCCTTTAAACCTACAGACTTCCTGCATTTATCATAACTGATCAACTACAAAAGTGAAAATAGCACAGGATCAATCTTACTTCGCTGGGGACAAAAAGACTGTTTACCAAAAGCACAAGTTTTTCCTTCTAGCTAGTTGGTCAAAACAAGATGATTTCCAGTACCACACAACATGCAGTAGTTGGAGAGATTTTATGCTGTATTTGCTGCCACTGCAAAACAATGCTGAAACAGTGCTGGAAATGCTGTTCCTTTGGAGCATCAGCGTTATGTAGTTTAACTTAGACTGAAAGGGAAGGAAGGGCTGGCCTTGGGCAAAAACTAGCACATGGCAAAAGGACACAAGTGCTGCCTGATAGGGAGCTCACGCAACATCTGCACAGAGCAGGAGTCTGTAGATTCAGACACCTGCATGCAGAGGCCACCGGGAAGCAATTCTGACTCACGAGAGAAACAGAGAAGCCCTCATCAAGTCAACAACAAGTGCTTTGGGGAGGAACAAGGTGCCCAGCTCTCTGCAGTTAGCCCACAGGTGCAGGACCCTGCAGTGCTACGGCCACAGTGGGGATGGAGAAGCAGGGTTGCAGAGTTACTGTGGTGCCGATACCCAGACCCACACCCCTGCCTGGCACAGCTCCAAATACCACCAAAGGCATGCCCTGCACTTCCCAGGAGTTGAGGCTGGGGTATTCAGTGGGGCTGGCTCACTGTAGGCCCAGCTGTCTCCACACCACGGGAAGGTGCTTCTTCCCCCTCAGAGCATCATCTGTGTTCAACCTTTCCCTCTCCAGAGAGCACTCCAACTTTGACCAAGGTGCGTCCTGAAGCTTGGTTTTTATGCTGCAGCTGGAGGCTGGCCTGACCAATGCAGCCACTCACTGAGAAAACCACATTCTTGGCCAAGAGGCACACAAGAAAGCGACAGTTTCTCCCTCTGATTCAGCTCAGTTCTCTTGGGTACATGTTGGAAGGTACAGCTATGGCCTGGCCCAGGTAAACACATTTGTCCACAGCAAAGTGGAAATACCTTCAACCCAGATTGCCACCGTATGGTACATGGACTTGACTCCCCTTCCTATAGTTAGGTTGAAATAAACCATGATTTGGGCCCCTGATATACTACTCTTCTTTAATTAGAGGCCAAATTTTTGTTTGCTTGTTTTCTTCTCATTCTTCTGTAGCCAAAGATAAACACAGAACTCATGCAGAGACATGAGATTAGCTACATTACAAGGAAGATAAGATCTCTGAAGGACAGATATATTTTAGCATCAGACAAAGTCGCTGTGACACTCTGCAGCAAACCCTGTGAGCCACAGCCCATCATTGCTGGACTGCAGTGATCAAACCTCAGGGTACAACACAGAAGTGTGGGCATGTGGAGGCACCAACAGGATGCAAACGCTCATGGCAAGTATGCTGTAAGAACAGCCAGACAGGGAGCTTCACCAAGATGATGTGTTGGCCTAACAAATTTCTAAGGAGAATCTTCACCGCCTACCCATGGGTCCAGGCTCAGGCTGCCTCCTGATCAAGCTACTTCCCAGGCTCATGATGATAACCACATGGTGCCAGTGCCCAGCTCCTCTGGATGGCTGAGCTACCTATTCATGTATCTCTGTGTGTGTTCATACCCTAAGAAGCGCATATGGTGTCTGCAGTGTTTGGGGTGGGAGACGTTGCAATTGCAGACTGCTCTGGCAGGTATCTAAACCCTACAGACTACTTCAGGCATGCAGGCCCTCTCTGGTCATGTCCCTGATGTAGAAGATGAGTTAGAGTGTGCTTGTCATTGTCCTCCATGCCAAATATCTATCTCATTACCACCTTTCCTGCTCCACTTAAGTCCATGCCACTTCTACCCTTCATTGGCACTTAACATCCAAAAGGCCTGGTCTCCAAAATCACAAGGTAAACCACAGTCCTGAAGTAACCTGAGTTTTTTGGTTCACCCTGATCCTAAATGATAAATTTTTTTTGCAGTACTTACTGGCTAATAAGGTAACAAAGCCAAAACTGTCTTCCTTACTTTGGAAAAATACCATTCTGCTCACTTCAAGCTATGTTCATGCTCTCTTTCCTCCCCTCCTCCCCTCCAGAGCTACCATCACAGTACACATGCAAAAATATACCCCAGAAGCACCAGGAAATATGTGAGCCGCTCAAAAGCAAACTGTGTCATCTCACACTGAGCTGCATCACTAAGTCTCTGTTTTCCTCTGTGAGGCCTCTGGGTTTACATCTTGTGTGCCCCACGCAGGAACTGCAGACTCCCAGGCTGATGCATGAAGCAGACCTGCCTGAAGAAGCCTCCTAATTACTGAATCTCCAGCACACAG